TGTTTTTTTTTTTCCAGCTGGGCATGCTTCTTTCTTGGAGCAACTGTTGCTGACGGTCGTGATTGGGGTGCCGATTATTGGGTCGTTTGCGGTGGGCCGTGGGTCGATGAGCTTAATCTACGCCTATGTATTGGTCTTTGATCTGTTGAGATGCTTGGGCTATTCTAATGTGGAGATTATCCCACATCGGGTTTTTGATGCAATCCCATTTCTCAAGTACATGATCTATACTCCAACGTAAGTTTTGGCCTTCAGTTTTTCCAAGAGTAGTTGATTATGTGTAATGAGTTTAGTTTTGATTAGTCACTATTTTTGGTCTAATGACTCAATTAAATCTCTAGATGTTAAGCATTAATTGTTCTGTTTTCTGTTCTGTTCTAAGTGTATTGTCTTTTGTTAATTGGAAAACAAAGCTCAGTACTTGGAATTATTCTCTACTTGTCAAATATATGAATATATGAAGAGTTGTATTATTCATGTTAATAACTTCACAGGTACCATAGCTTGCATCATGATGAGATGAACACAAACTACTGCCTTTTCATGCCGCTTTTCGACGCTTTAGGAAACACATTGAACGAAAATTCATGGGATGCCCACCGTATAAACAGTTTAAATTCAGGTATTCCGTTAATGGTAAAAAAAAAATGAAAAATCCGAAACATATTGCATGAATGTAAAAGATAACTAATTACTTCATTCTTGAAAAAAAAAAACAAATGCAGGTAAAAACGGAAGGGTCCCGGATTTTGTGTTCCTAGCGCATGCGGTTGACCTGTCATCCGGCATGCATGCCCCTTTTGTAAACCGGTCAATGGCAGCCTTGCCTTACTGCACGAGAATTTATATGTTGCCGCTTTTGCCCCTGTCGTTTTTGGTCATGCTAATCATGTGGGCTAAATCAAAGACCTTTTTGATATCGTATTATAACCTTAGGGGTCGGTTGCACCAGACTTGGTCTGTTCCGCGGTTCGGTTTTCAGGTTAGTTTCGTTATTTTTGTCGAAAATGTGAAATTTTTCAGTATATTAGAGTACTTGAATTATAATTTGTGTGTGTTTTGTGCAGTACTTCTTGCCGTTTGCTGCCGAGGGCATAAATAATCACATTGAAGAGGCTATTCTTAGAGCTAATCGGTTGGGAGTCAAAGTTATCAGCCTTGCTGCTCTGAATAAGGTTTTCTTACTTTAATGTCTTGTTCTGTTTTCAGATCAAAAATTCGAATCATAATTAACATAGTCGATACTTCAAAGTGGTAATAACATTTCGAATGTATATGTTGATGATTTGTAGAATGAGGCTCTTAATGGAGGCGGAACACTGTTCGTTAACAAACACCCGGACCTTAAAGTTCGAGTCGTGCATGGGAACACTTTAACTGCAGCCGTGATCCTCAACGAAATCCCCCAAAACGTGACCGAAGTTTTTCTAACCGGAGCCACTTCAAAGCTCGGCAGAGCTATTGCTCTCTATCTTTGCAGAAAACAAGTCCGAGTCCTGGTAAGTGGAGAACTATTTGCATATATGCTGAAAAATATGAGAAAACTGATGAAAATTCGATGGATGCGTGTTTTTTTTTTTTTCAAGCAGATGTTGACTCTATCGACCGAAAGATTCAGAAACATTCAGAAAGAAGCACCAGCGGATTGCCAAAAGTATCTTGTCCAGGTGACTAAGTACCAAGCAGCCCAAAACTGTAAGGTATAGTACATAACAGGACTAGACTGGGAAGAAAAAGATGAACTATTACGCGGTAAAAAATTATTTTACGAATGTTTTTTGGTTTTTGAATGTAGACATGGATAGTGGGAAAGTGGATCACACCAAGACAGCAAAATTTCGCGCCGTCTGGAGCTCATTTTCATCAGTTTGTGGTCCCTCCGATTTTGCATTTCAGACGAGACTGTACTTATGGCGACCTTGCTGCCATGAGGCTGCCAGACGATGTTGAAGGACTCGGCTCGTGCGAGGTCCCTTGCTTTCTCGAATATTACAATTCAGACATATTCGAAAACTCTAAATTTTCAAATTATACCAAAATCTTAAAACCTTAACCATATCGTCACAAATGTTTCTGTTAGGCTGTCTAACTGTTAAGCTGTCATACATATAATTATACGATATTAAACTTATTTTTTTCTTTACTATTTTTGAGGAGCAGTACACGATGGAGAGAGGTGTGGTCCACGCGTGCCACGCGGGCGGCGCGGTGCATGCCTTGGAAGGATGGACGCATCACGAAGTCGGGGCTATAGACGTTGACCGGATTGACTTAGTCTGGGAGGCTGCAATGAAGCATGGGTTGAAGCCGGTCTAAAGTGCTGCCAGATAGGATTTTCTAGAAAAAATATAAATTAATAGCTGGAAAAAGAAATTATTGTTATGTTATCCCACGTAAAGGAAACTTATTACTATTACTATTATTATGATGATGATGAATTGATGATGTTAAGTGATGTTCAAATTCATAGTGTTCCTTACTAACAGTTTGAGCTATATGGGGAGTGATTGATTGTTTTATAACTATCAGAGTTATATGAGCTTCAACTTGTTGCTAGCTAGCTACCATTAATATATTTTGTTGTCATCACTATATAAGTCTATATTCTTGTGAGTTGGGTTAGATATATTTTTCTGTAGTGTAGCGCTATATATGTGTTTGATTTGAAATCAAGTTTGTACAATATTGACTTTGTAAAAATTAGGATTAATGTGAAGAAGCTTAAAACAGTTTCATATGCCCGCCAATATCTTATCATGAAACGGATCACCCCTTTCATTTAGACGTGTCCACGGGCCGAATCGGCCCGGCCCGGAACCATCCTCTTAAGGGCCGGTTCCTTGAACCGGACCCGTAAGGTTGCGGTTCGATCCCGGTTCATACACTCTTTGTTTTTGACCCGCCGGGTCGGGTCGGGCTGGGCCGGGCCGCAGGTCGCGTTGCTTTTTTGGATTTTTAAGGGCCGTACCGGCCCGAAACCGTCCTAGACCCGCAGGGTTGGTGAACCGGCGGTTCCGGGCCGGTTCTAACCGACCCATAGGTTTTTTCGGGCTGGTTACGGGCCATGATGTTGAGGCCCGCTGACCCAGCGGGTTGGGCCGGGCTGGGTCGCGGCCCGACACCTGGTCATGCCTACTTTCATTTATTAGTAGCTATTGGAACTCTGACTTGGTGCAACGATCCTTTCTTCCCATCGATGCTGAAAAACTTCTGTCTATTCCTGTTAGTAACAATGGTGGTGAAGACCGTCTTTTGTGGCACTTTACGAGTAACGGGGAGTACACGGTTCGTAGTGGATATCGTTTTCTGAAAAAAGCTCGTGTGGGCTTTCCAGAATCAAGTACCAACTCGACCTCGAAATGGTGGAAAGCGTTGTGGAAATTTCGTCTCCCGGCAAAGATAAAGTTGCTCCTGTGGAAATTGTCCCTTTTAGCGTTCCCTTCGAGTGAAAATCTGAACAGAAGACATATAAGCGTGGGGGGTTTGTGTCCGAGATGTGGTTGTCGGGAAACTAATTATCATCTGTTCTTCGATTGTCTCTGGGTGAAATCCTTTTGGAGGCATGCTGGATGGTGGGATATCTTATGTGGCGTTTGGAGAGGTAATTTTATCCTTCTATTCTTGTCACTTTTGTCGGGCCCTCGGGGTGACGATTTTCGTTTCTTTGCAGTAGGTTTATGGCTTATTTGGTTTGAACGAAATCGGTGTCGTAAGGGGCTAACAGTTAGAAGTGCAGAACAAGTGTGGGAGTTTGGGGTGTCCTGGCTGAAAGAATTTATTCTAGCTGCCACGGGCTTGTTAGCTAATGGGTTACGTGCGAGTATTGACTCCATCTCCATCTGGAGGGACCGGAAATTGTAGCAATGGCTTAACGCTTTTATGTGATGCGGCGGTTCGTGATACGGAGATTGGCCTCGGTGGGTGGATTCGCGATTCCTCAGGGGCTTGTTTGGTTCTTTTTTCATCTTGTGTGTCGGGCTCCTTCTCCCCTCTCCTTGCGGAAGCTTTAGCTCTTCGGTTCGGGTTGCGCGTTGCGGCTGATTTGGGATTAAAAATCCAGTTGGTCTTATCAGACTCAATGGGAGTGATCAGTGGTATTTCTCTCTTTAATGATCTTGACCCTTTGTTCGGGGTGTTTGCGGATATTATTAGCCTTTTGTCTCTTTTCGACTGTGGTAGATGTGTATACATATCTAGGGACCAAAACGGAGTAGCTCACAACATAGCAAAGTGGGCGGTCTTCTCACATTCATTTAGTGTTTGGAGTGAGTCACTCCCAATTTGGTTTCCTTCTTTCTTTTCGAATATATCGGACTCATGTCCTTTTGTTTAGTTGGGTTTTAAGTACACACACAAAAAAAAAAAGAAAAAAAAAATTATTGTCTATGAAACTATTTTAACCATCTCAAATTAATGAATTATATATTGTTGTTGCTAGGCTTGTAAACAAAGCCGATTTTCTTTTATTCGATTCAAGGTTTTAAATAGCGGGCTAAAACGTTTATGGCATTGTAGCTATAGCGGAGATTTAGCGGGATTTAGCGGCTAAATTGCACATGAATACAAATAACGGCACGCTGCCAAAAAAAGTTATTTCTCAAATAGCGGCAACTTTAGCGAGCTATTTATTTCCTTGATTCGATTCGATATTCGTGGTTCGAATTCGTAATTGAATATTATATTTTATATTAGAAAGTTAAACGAATTCGAATTCGAATTTGTAGATATTCGATTCGAAATTATCAAATATTCGATTCGTTAATGATAGGTATACAAATTTTATAAATTTATATATAGTATACATTTTGTCTATAATATACTATATATATAGATATATTTATATTTCTAATATGTTTATGACATAAAGAAGAAAAAAACATCTCAAATCAAACAATTTTTCCTAAAGACATCTCAAATTAGATAGGAAAAACATAAACAATATTTTTGTAATTATAATTTTTTATATTATAATATTTTTTGAAAATATATTTCGAATCAAATCAAATATGTTCGAATATTCTAAACAAATCGAATACTAATAAAAAATTGACTTCGTTTACAAATCGAATATGAGTGAATATCTTTCGAAGATTTTAATAAATCCGAATCGAATATTTGGTATTCGGTTGTTTAG